GCTGCTCTCACTTGTGTGTTGTGCTAGGATTTCTGGGGGCATATCCCATGGTTCCAAACTGCAGTAAACTGAACTGCTCCAGGCATTCCTTCTCAGGGAATTACAGGAGAACTCATCTGTCCTTTCTGGGCAAAGGAATGGGGCTGTGGGAAAGGACCAGCGACACTCGAGTGGCTCTAGCCTGAGTCCGCACTACACGAGTGGCCGCGTTAATAGCTGATGACTTGTGCTAATCTGAACTTTAGCTTGTACCACCTGACAGGCCAGTGAACTCAAGTGAAAAGCACCATCATGCTCAGTCTAGGGGTACGTCCACACTGCAATGTAAGCCCAGAGCTAGTGGAACATGAGTCAGCAGACCCTGGGTTTGAGCACCTACACTGATTGTCAATCCTACATTAGGAATTTTCTAACCTGGTCCCAAAACTGGGGTTCAAGCATCTACACTGCATTTCGCAGACCTGAGTGCAATCAATCATATCCCAGCTTTCCCAGTGCCCTCCCGCCATGTGGCTGCTCTAGCTTTTTGTTGTGCAGTTTGGGAAAATCTGACTGTCCACTAAACTTGACTGTCCAAAGGTCCAAGAAAGCCAGCCCGTGGGAACGTGGGAGACTTTTGGCCAACTCCCAGAGCCTGGGTCCAGTGGGGCTGCATCTACACTGCAAAGTAATAGGGCTTGAACCCTGGGTCTCGGACTCCCAGTTTGACTCAGGCTTGGACCCTTCACCCTTGTGGGGTCCTGGGACCCTGGGTTAGAATGATTTGGGTACAGATGGAAGGGAGGTTAGGCTTGAGCCTAAGTCTGAACCTTGGGTTTATGCTGAAGTGTAAGTGCACCTAACTGTTTTTGTGTGGGGACGTGACCTGAGTTATAACCAGGGATCCTAGTTTTCTGTGATAAAAAAACCCAAATCCTCTGATTAAAAAACCCATAAAAATCCACTTTTTTCGCTATTTAAAGGAAACGCTGACCTTTAGTTTCTCTAGCCACAATATATATAGGTATCAGTTGACACAATGTTTTATTGATATATTTACAATTTTTAAGCTGACAGCCCGAGCACCGTTGCCTGGGGCTGACATCCCAAGCCCTGCCCTGCCCATTTCCCTGATTATCTGAATTTTTGATTATCCAAGCTGGCCCCATTCCTAATTAGATTGGACAGTCAGGGTTCTACTGTATATGGTTTTATTTTCTCACAAAATGTAAAAACTAAAGATTCTCTCTAAGAACACAACTTCTGCATTTTTCCATGGCAAATGGATTTCTAGGCTCCCTGGTTATAACTCATGTTAACTTTGTAGTGAAGGCAAATCCTTAGTGTAGATAGGAGGTTAACATGCAGTTATGCTCTGAAAAGCATAACAATGACATGATGAAATTCTCTGTTTACTGTCAGTTATTTCTGATCAGACTGGACTGGCTCAGTTTGAATGTTTCGTTCCTAACCGTCAGCTCTACAGACTCACCAGAGATCTGAGGGTCAAGCTGAGTTCTTTCTGGCTCATTTCTCACCACCGATAGATTCTGCATGCCAAATTTTCCCTTCAGTTACACCTGTGGTATCGTATTGTCTTCAAAGGAGTTACAAAGCTGTAATTTGGCAGCATTTAAAGCCCTGTACTGTATTTCATTAATAACGATATTTACGATACCTCAGCCATCTGGTTTTATTAGCTCTGCAGTGCTAACAGGTGTAAAATGTAGCAAAAACTGATTCTCAGTATACAGGGAGTAAATCTGCTGAGCCAGGTGCTATTTTCAGTTATTTTTCTGACCACGGCCACATTTAAAAGCGCGTTTACAGACAAAGACTAAAGATTATTTGTCTATCTGCCAGCCCTGCAAACTCAATCTGGGATCTCAGAATCAAGCTAAATTCTCTCTTTCTTCTTACATCAGCATACATCTACCTCTAACTATTTTGGCTCTGCGTGACTAACACGATTGAAAAATTGCTTAGGGCAGTGAAAATATTTTTAATTAAATGACCAGCACACACAACAAGAACTGTGGATGTGATCTGTCCCATAATGTTTTAGGAGTCTTGTACAGAGTTTTTAGCAAATCTGACAAACACACACAGAAGAATTTTTTTAAAGTTTTTTGTTTGGAGTTAAAGGCCCTTCAACAATATTTACAAACCAAGCATCCCGTCATTGTGTGAATGCATGAGAATCTCCAAGTGAAACTATCTATTATTGCCCAGGCTGAACAGAACTAAAAAAGAAGAAGTGCATAAATGGATAAAAAAAAACACAGGAGGCTTTTACTCTCCTTCCATTTTTAACAATCAAAAGAGTGAAAGTTAAGGACATTTTAAGTAATATGACTTTTAATGTGACACAGTCCCCTTAACTTTAGGCAGATTTATAAATGTTTGGTTTTAGGATGCAGCCATTTATAGCATAGAACACAGACGATGCAGCGGTGTCACTGAAAGTGCAGGTGGAGTGATTCTGTGTTGTGCAATTTGAGTAGTAAGATTGATAAGAGGGTGAAATGAATTGATTATTTTAAAATTAAGTGCAGCAATAGGTGTTTCTATGTATAATTTATCACAATAAAGTGATGCATGAGTCAGGACTAAAAATACACTGATTAGGCTACCTGGACTATAAAGTACGTATTCCTTACATAGCCTGCTAGCCATCTATAGGGCAGTATAATCAAGAAGATGATTCTGTTAATCTATCCATGCCATTTGTCTTCAAGGCAGATCTGCTGACTTTATGGATACAGAAAAGTTTCTCCTGTGGTCCTCGAAGAGCCAATATAAACACAGCAGAGTGAGCTGGAGTCTCTTACAACAAAAGTTGTCAGCAAACTTCTGATCCTAGAATCTTTAGTACTTATGGTGACAGTAGGAGGCAGAGAGAACACTGCTGGATTTTTCAACTCACAACTTGAATTTGCGGTGCTAGCAGCTAGGAAAAAAAAAATCAAATATTTGACTTGTAAACTGAGACCATTTGAGCAGGAATCAGTGAACAAGAATAATTACAAAACCCAACAAGGGTTTCTAAGCAAAACTTTATGCGGGGAAATGGAGGTCAGAAGAATCTAAGCAGAAATGCTGCACATTGATCTGTTACAAAGCAGGAAATCGAGTTTTGTAGCCGGACAAGTAACTTATATTTAGAAAATCATTCTGGATAGCTGAGTAATTAAAGCAGGTATGCATGTATACTGATGATGCGCGTACATGACAAGGCTTGGTTTAAATGTCTCCATCAAATGATTTTGAACATTACAACAAACATTTGAAATGCCTCAGATAGATAAATACCAATAATCTTAAAGAGAATAATCAGTTATTTTAATTTATTGCAAATAAAGCGTACAGTCATTTGAAACCATGAGTGTGAAGGGCTGCATTAGTGTTTCAAGTATCTGATCACAGATCCATTTTCATTAATAACAGAAGCACAGACAAAGCAAAAGAGTACATTTATTTTATAATCATATTTGCAATAGGCAAGGAGGGTAGGTAAGGAGGAGGATGCAGTCAGAGAGAAGGGAGAGATGATTAAGAGGGGGGGAACCAGGAAGGAAGGGAAGGGTGTGTGTCTGGGTAAATAATAAGACGTTAAGTGAGTACTATCCTACTTTTGCGAAAACTAATCTCATTTTTGGGCAGGATGCCCTAAGCATATATGCACATTGCTGAACTCTGGTCCTTACTCAATCCATCCCTCCCTTCTGTTTGCTACTGTCCCATCTATGGCATTAATTGATCTTTAACTATTCATGGTAAATAGGCCCATGGCCTGTGATGGGATGGGATCTGAGTTACTACAGAGACTTCTTTCCTGGGTATCTGATTGGTAAATGTTGCCCACATGCTCAGGATTCAGCTGATCGCCATATTTGGGGTCGGGAAGGAATTTTCCTCCAGGGCAGATTGGAAGAGGCCCTGGGGTTTTTTCTCTGTCCTCTGCAGCATGGGGCACGGGTCACTTGCTGGAGGATTCTCTGCACCTTGAAGTCTTTAAACCACGATTTGAGGACTTCAATAGCACAGACATAGGTGAGAGGTTTATTGCAGGAGTGGGTGGGTGAGATTCTGTGGCCTGCATTGTGCAGGAGGTCAGACTAGATGATCATAATGGTTCCTTCTGACCTTAATATTTTTGAGTCTATCTAACATTAGGCCCCAAACCCACAAACATTTACACATGGTTAACTTTACACATTAGTAGAGCCTCTGAAGTCAGTGACGGGGCCTTAGATAATAAGCTCTTTGGGGCTGGAAATATAACTATGCATGCATCTGTATAGCACAATAATGGCCTGATCCTTCTTGGAGCTTCTTAGTAAGTACATATTCTTTAGGTCAGAGACCGTATCTTCCAAATTGTTCGGTGAAGTATCTAACACATTTACTTTAACGCACAAACATTCATAAATAACAATGCTTAACATTCCCAAGCTAAGATGAGGTATGCTGCCGGGCCTGTTACAAAGGCAGGAAGCCTTCCCACGAGGAAACTGGACAGCATTGCTAGATCACACGCAGAGTACATACAAAACCCTATCCCCCAGTCTGTATTGTTACTATTTTGATATTGACATTATGAGGTGCAAATAATGTCTGTAACACAAACATATTGAAATCCACTTGAGAGGCAAGATACAAGTTAAAGTGACTTCAGATAGTTCTAAACCCAAAGTAGGTTTCATAAAACCTATTAATAGACTGTTTTGGGCATTTAAAAAACTAGCAAAAAAGTTTTGTTTTGATGTAAGCCTTCCTCTGCTGTTTACACATTACAGACATTGTTATGCAAGTACAGTATATAAATAAATAAGAATTTGGGACCAGACCCAAAACCCTTTGAAGTCTATAGGTGCCTTTCCATGGACTTCAAGATGTGTTGGATCAGACCATTAAGCCCCTAAAACTTGTTTCTCTTCCACAGACCAAGAGCTGCTTCACCAAGGGGAGCCAAGTTGCAGAGTAGCAGCCGTGTTAGGCTGTATCCGCAAAAAGAAAAGGAGGACTTGTGGCACCTTAAAGACTAACTTTTTAAAGGGGGAACCAAGTATCAGTCCCGTTTTCTATCAGGGGGAATTAATGTGCAGAAGGGAAGCAACTCTCACACCAGAGCGGAGAGCAGCCAAACTAGGAACTCAGGCTGTTGGATTCTCAGACCCTTGCCCTGTCTGCAGCAGCCTGGTGCTGGGCGGGGGAGCCCTGAGGGTGAAAGGGACTAAAAGAAAGTGAAACTAACCAGGCCACTTTCACTCTCCAAAGGGAGTAACAAACACAGGTGGCGAGAAGTAAACAACCACCCCACATACACTGGGTCACACAGGACGGTAGGCGAGGCAGCTTCCCGGCCCCCCCCGACGGTAACAAACTTGACACCACAGCACTTTACTACAAGGGAGACGGGTGCGGGAGCTGGGGGGGGTAGACACGAGTGGGGCGCGGACAGCAGGTCAGTAGCGGATGCAAGGGGGGCAGGGGGAGAAGGTCTGGGGTAGAGGAAGCACGGGGGGGGGAGGGGGGAGGGAGGGCCCGGAGCCGGGGGGGGGGGGGGGAGAGGGGGAAGGGCGGAGCACCGGGGGGGGGGGGGGGGGGAGAGGGAGGGCCCGGGCCCGGGGGGGGGGCGGAGCGCCGGGGGAGCCGGGGGGGGGGGGGGGAGAAGGGAGGGGGGAGAGGGGGGAGGGGGGAGAAGGGAAGGGCCCGGAGCACCGGGGGGGGGGGGGGAGGGGAGGGGGGAGAAGGGAAGGGCCCGGAGCACCGGGGGGGGGGGGGGGAGAAGGGAAGGGCCCGGAGCACCGGGGGGGGGGGGGGGAGAAGGGAAGGGGAGGGAAGGGCCCGGGGCACCGGGGGGAGGGGGAGGAGAAGGGGGGGAAGGGCCGGGGCGCCGGGGGGGGGGGGGGGAGGGGAGGGAGGGAGGGACGGGGCGCCCCGGGCGGGTCCGGGGGGCCGCAGAGACCCAGCGCGGAGGAGACGGGCCGACGGCAGAGACGGGCCGGGGCCGGGAGCGGGACCAGCCCCCAGCGTCTCCCGGGGCTGCACTCACCAGCTCATGGTCCCCTCCGGCCCCGGCTTTCTCCCGGAAGCGCTTGTCCCTTGGCCCCGCCCCCTCCGGAAGCGAGGCAGTCGGCACGCTCGACGGCGTGACGTCACGCACGGCCTGGGGGCGGAGACACCTGGAAGTTCTCACGCTGCCTGCCGGGCGGGCCGAGCCGCAGCGTCGGAGGCTGTGTCGTGATGTCACAGTGCAGCATTGTGATGTCACCACGTGGAGCCGTGATGTCACCGCCCAGTGCCATGACATCGCTGGGCTGCGCTGGGGAGAGGCTGCGCCCGGTGTACAAGGCAAGGCTGGCCTGCGGCCGCCCTGCGCTGCTCTGCCATCCCCCTGCTCCCTGGGGCGCTCCAGAGCCGCACATTGCAGTGACCCCCCAGCAGCCCTCCCCCGAGCCGCTCCAGGGCCTGGCTTTGGGGAACAGCCCCCGGGGACAGGGGTCGGCAACCTTGCAGAAGCGTGCGCCGAGTCCTCATGTATTCACGCTTAGTTTAAGGTTTCCCGTGCCAGTCACACATTTTAACGTTTTTAGAAGGTTGCTTTCTATCAGTCTGTAATATATAACTCAACTGTTGTTGTAGGCAAAATAAATAATGTTTTTGAAATGTCCAAGAAGCTCCATTTAAAATTAAATTAAAATGCAGAGCCCCCCGGGACCGGTGAGTGTGAGTGCCACTGAGAATCAGCTTGTGCGCTGCCGTGCCGTCGGTTGCCTACTCCTGCCCTAGAACTTCAGACTCCGCTCCCAGCAATGGCTGCAGCTTAGCCCGGGAAGCCTTCCGCGGCAGATAAATTGACACCCATGCGGCTGACTGGCTTTCACAAAGTGGACGGCTTCCTGGCCCGGGCCCTATGTGCCGCGTGCGCATCCCACAGCGCTCTTCCTGGGAGGCAGAATTTGCCCAACTGGCCTTGTCCAAAAATCTGGCTCTTTTGCTGCACAGTGGATGTGCTACTGGGGGCTGCGTTGCAGCAGTTACGTATGACTATGGCAGTGGGCTAAAGAGGTATTGCTCCAGTGGACGGAATGACTTGTCTCTCCGTGGACAACTTTGAAGCTAGCTTCTCATTTAAAGCATGATTTATTTATTATTCGACACAGCCCCTGAGGAAGCCATCCCAGCATTTACATAAGGCCCAGTACACGTTGGGACAGGTTAGCAACTCTAGTTTAGTCATTTCAATGTAGGCATCCAGCCAGGTTAGATGGATTGAGTAAGGCTTCCAGTTCTTCCCTTTAATTCTGAGTCTTGGTGTATTTATTCCAGACTGCCGGAAAGCTGGTACAACACACAAAAAATGTTAACAAGTAATAATGCCAGGATCCACAAGAAAACAAACTTGAGAGACAGGACCATGGCAAGGAACTGATACGAACAAGGTACATTAAATGTAACGTAAGGTGGAGGCCAGTGACTAAGAAGGAAAATAAATTGCATACTATTTTAAAAAGCCCTTGAGGGAACAACTGTGTTATGAGTTTTGCAATGTCAGGAAAGGTCCAGCTGCACTCAATAATCAATGAAATTGATGAAGCACATGGGAACTGAATAGGGAACCATATGGCTTAGCACTTATAATCTTCAAAGCATTTACAAACCTTTAAAAATTACCCCTCACAAGCTTCTAGGGGTAAATGGCCCCATTTTACAGATACAGAAACTGAAGCAAGAAGAATTAGACCAAAATGTTTAGATGTGCCAGATTGTGCCCTCTGATTTTGGATGCCTTTTGAGTGGCTGATCAGAATTATCTAGGCCCAAATCCTCAGATATATTTAGGCACTTAATGCTCATTGATATCAATGGAAATTAGGCATCTAAATATTTTTCAGGACCTATGCCATCAGGCATGATTTTCAGAGGCGCTGAGCTACCACAGCTCCAGCTGAAGTCCGTGGGAGCTGCAAGTTTTCAGGTCCTCTGAAAATCAGGTTCCAAGTGGCTCACATCAGGCATCAAAAAAAGGAGGCACCCATATATAACAGATTATTTGGAAAATTTTAATCAAAGTGACTTAAAGCGATTCCTGTGCGGGAGTCCCAGAACCAAAGCCCCAACGTCTACACGGTAATTTTTATCTCTGTAGCCTGAGCCCCGTGAGCCTGAGTCAACTGACCTGGGTCAGCCGTGCCGTACTGCGTGTCTTTTATTTTACTGTAGACGTACCCGGTAAGGTTATATGTCCTGCCCTCTCTCATTAGGTCCTTATCTGGCCTCCACTGCTGTAGTACCTGAGTACCTCATGATCCTTAATGCATTTATCCTCTCACCACCTCCATGAAGTAGGGAAGTGCTGTTATCCCCATTGTACAGATGTGGAACTGAGAGATAAAGAGCCAGGGTTTTCAAGGGTATTTATGTGCCTAAAGATGTAGACAGGCGCCGAGGGGGAGTTAGGTACCTAATCTTCTTAGGCTCTTTTGAAAATCCCACAAGACACCTATCGGCATCTTTAGGCACCTAAATACTTTTGAATATCTGGCCCTTAGTGACTTGGCCAAGGTCACACAGGAAGTCCATGCCAAAGCAGGGAATTGAATTTGAGTTTCCTGGGTAAATACCCTAACCACTGGATTGTTGTCCCTCTGCTAGTCAGTTAACAGGGCAGAGAACAGACCCTATTTTCCTGCCTCCCAGGCAGGTGTTGTATCCGCATCCTGCCCCTTTGCCCTGTTATACGTGCAGCCCCAAAGGTATGCATGACACTTTATGGATATGAAAAAATACAAAGTCCCTGCCTCGTACATCCTTATAAGAATGGGGCGTGCTACTGTAATGGGCACAAATGCTGCAGCCTTCCAAAGAACTAGTGCGACATTTGGAGCCACCACTGCAGAAGGTTGTCACGTACTTTAAATAAGGGGAAGACAGGTGTGCACTGGATTACAACACGCTCAGCTTCACACCCCAGGACTTGTATACAAGCTCCCCGCCCCGATTGCTGCTGCTGCTGCACCTGGCTGCCAGACATACTCCTCTCTGCAGTCCTAGATGCTTACCTCTCCCCCACCCAATTTCATCATCCAGGCCAATTGCATGCTTCTCCTGGGAGTCCCGTCTCGCTCCAGTTTGAGGCACAGGGTTTAAACTTCCCTGCAGCGTGGCCCCAGATCCCTATTTTGAAAGGGGCACAGGGAGGGAGAGGCCACTGACCAGAGTGCCAGTCAAGGTGGCAGCAGCCGCAGCCTCAGCCTCTGCTCAGTTCCAGACATGAACAGGGCGATTGTCAAGTGCAGGCAGGTGCCCTGCTGTGCCAGTAGGATGCGAGGAAAAGGCTTTGAGTCAGTCACTTGTCTGCCAAGCACATGGGGAATTAGAACATCACGTCAGGACCATGCAGACTCCTGTCTGTATCCTCAGGGTGGGACAGGGCTGGAGAACAAAGGCTCCTGTGTTTTCTTAGGTGGCGAGAGGGACTGACAGCACAGGTAACCTTTTGGATCAGTATAACGAGAACCTTTGAGGAGGGATGGACCCTTACTACTAACAGTCCCAGGGTAAAATGGTGGTGCTCCAGGGTGATGACTATGGTCATTCTTACCAACTACACCTTTGCCTGGGGGAATCTTTCCATGTCCTATGGCTAGGAGATACTTGGAGTTGTGGGTGGTGGAGGACCGAGATGCCTTTGCTTTAGGAGCAGATAAAAGGGCATCTCCAAAAGTGAGCCCAACAGAGGTCACAGAAGGCCCTGGCATTTCAGAAGGTGATGAGAGAAGCTGGGGGGGGGGGGGGGCTGGGTGACAACATGAGGGGGTGAGTTTCTAGGCTTTTCACCTCACCCACAGACCCCGAGTGCAGAACAGAGACAGCTCTTGGATTGAATGGGCAATGAAGACTGAACTCCACTCCAGAGGAGGCCTCTCCAGAAACGGCACACGTGCAGCGTAGCTTGCACCGTTGTTGCTCATGCTGGACCTACAGGATCAGGGGAGAATTCATTCTCTGCAGCCCATACAGTCCATGGTCTCTCTGGTGAGGCTGCCAACAGAGGGACTGCGCAGTGGCGGCATATCTGCCTTCTTGGAACTCGACTTGGACCCTACCAAATTTTCACGGGAGCTGCCAACGTTCCATTAGAACTTTTAGTGACGAGTGACCTGGGCCAAGGAACCTGGCAGTGAAATGCTGCATGTTGCACAGCCTCCCTCCATCACTCCCCCTGAGCCAGCCACTCCCCGGATGCTGCTCCTTTCCCCATTTAAAAGCCACAAGCGTCCAGGACAATGCCAAAGCGTTCCTAGCTAAGTGCTTTGCCTATTGCAAAAGAGGCTCTCGGGCACTGTGGCTTCCATTTCATGTCTGCCTGTTTGGATTCCTGCTTGCAGAATGACTAACTTTAAGGACTAAAAAAAAATATATATATATGTTTTGATTACACTGCCTTTTTGCCAACTGGGAGCATTAGTCACAGGATTTTTGTGTGTGGAGATACCAGGCTTAAAGCTCAGCAGAGCTTCTTTCTTTCTCCCCCTCCTCCTCCTTTCTGACTTATTAGCAGGATTCCAAGCATGATGAAGAATAGAGAGAGAGAGAGAGAGAGAGAGAGAACGTGCATGAACATCTTCAGGGAAAATTACTCTGCATTATTTTTCTCCCCCCCGCCCCCACCAGAGAGAGGAAACCACCAAAGGCTTTTTAAAGGTTTGGGGTGAGTCTTTGGACACATGGGGGCCAGATCCTCAGCTGGTATAAATCGACACAGTTCGGGGGCTTTGACAGAGCTACGCCCATATGCACCAGCTGAGGATCTGGTCCACAGTTTGGCACCTATTCATCTCTCTGTATAAAGCAAGGGCGGGAGAAGGATTCTGGATTGGCAACTGTCTGGTGATGGGCAAAACAGGGGTGCCTCGCTTAGCTCGCTGCTCCCTGGGCATGCCCCACCCCTGCCCCAGGAGGCCCCACCTTGAAAGGGAGACGGGGTGTTCAATCTCCACCATCCATTCCATCTTTGTGGAAACAGCCAACAGAAGGAGCCAACTCGCACTAGTTGCAGGGGTGATTTTGGTGACGCCTTCCTCCTGGAACTAGACTACCATGATTATTGTGTGTATTATGGTCGCACCTATGGACCCCATCATGCCAGGTGTTGTACACCCATGTGTGAGAGAGTCCATGCCCTGAAGCTCACACTCTGGGTGGGGAGTATTATTATCCCCACTTTACAGATGGGAAACTGAGAGAGACTAAGCATCAAACCCAAGGCCATACAGTCAGTGGCAGAGACAGGAACTGAATGTAGATTTCCTTAGTCCCAGTCCAGTGCCTTAATCACAAAACCATATTTCCTCTCTAAACTTGAGACCCACTGCACTCATTTCCGAGAGGCCGCCAAACAGCAGTCAGATGGTAACAGCTTTGACACTCAACTGGGAGGAGAGGTAGATACGCTGGAGGGTAGGGATAGGATACAGAGGGACCTAGACAAATTAGAGGATTGGGCCAAAAGAAATCTGATGAGGTTCAACAAGAACAAGTGCAGAGTCCTGCACTTAGGATGGAAGAATCCCATGCACTGCTACAGACTAGGGACCGAATGGCTAGGCAGCAGTTCTGCAGAAAAGGACCTAGGGGTTACAGTGGATGAGAAGCTGGATATGAGTCAACAGTGTGCCCTTGTTGCCAAGAAGGCCAAGGGTATTTTGGGATGTACAAGTAGGGGCATTGCCAGCAGATGGAGGGACGTCATCGTTCCCCTCTATTCGACATTGGTGAGGCCTCATCTGGAGTACCGTGTCCAGTTTTGGGCCCCACACTACAAGAAGGATGTGAAAGAATTGGAAAGAGTCCAGCAGAGGGCAACAAAAATGATTAGGAACACATGACTTATGAGGAGAGGCTGAGGGAACTGGGATTGTTTAGTCTGCGGAAGAGAAGAATGAGGGGGGATTTGATAGCCGCTTTCAACTACCTGAAAGGGGATTCCATAGAGGATGGATCTAGACTGTTCTCAGTGGTGGCAGATGACAGAACAAGGAGTAATGGTCTCAAGTTGCAGTGGGAGAGGTTTAGGTTGGATATTAGGAAAAACTTTTTCACTAGGAGGGTGGTGAAGCACTGGAATGGGTTACCTAGGGAGGTGGTGGAATCTCCTTCCTTAGAAGTTTTTAACGTCAGGCTTGGCAAAGCCCTGGCTGGGATGATTTAGTTGAGGATCGGTCCTGCTTTGAGCAGGGGGTTGGACTAGATGACCTCCTGAGGTCCCTTCCAACCCTGATACTCTATGATTCTATGATTGAGCAGCATCGGCCTAGGTTGAAGGTGAACTAGCGACGTAGAGCTCTGTATTCCCTTATTCCTTTCTGGAGCCATCCAACTCCCCATACGTCAGCAGTAGCCTCTACAAAACATGTTGATGACTTGGCACTTAGGAGCTGGCTAATACTAGAGACCCACCAGTTTGTCTTAACAGAAGAATATAAGCGGTGATCTCCAGCACCGAACAGGCTTGGGGCTGTGTTTGCCAGCAGGGGGAGTAATGCTGGAGCCGAATTTAAATACATTGTCAGAGTGCCTTCTACGGTACCTCGTCGGCCAGCTGCACAGGTTACATGTGCCATCTGCATAGTTCCTCAGCTGAAATTGTCACTACACTCTCCTGGTTTGCAGGAGACATGTCTGCCTGTTGAGCCAGAAGGGCCAAACTGGTCGGAGCCACGCTGAGCAGGTCTTGGAGGTAGACGCCCTTTGCAAATCTTGCGCCATGCAAAAGGGCTCCTGCTCTTGGTGCTCCTGGCATGGGATGGTAGGTATTTGGGTTCCTCCCAGGGGTTTTGTAATACCCCCACATCTGACACGTTGCACTCACAGACTTGACTGGCATCTCAAGGCACCGCACAATAACAGAAGATAATTAAACTAATTACCGAGCTCATTGAAACCAATTAAAAAGGGCTCCGGGAGAATATCAAGTCTTTTAACGGGCACCAGCTGAATGTTGCAAACCTGGGAGTACCCAAACATCAGGATGCATATGACAAAGGCTCCAGCACCTGCTGTGTAAGAGGTGGGACTGGGGGGTGACCATGGGAGTTGTGCTTCCAGGTGGGTCCCACTGGTGAGTAAGTTGCTGATTCCGTTCCCACGGCATAATGGAGAAAATCCAATTTATTATGGAGACAAATTGCCCCATGAGCCTTTCAGAACATGGAACTTCACTGGCTTGGCAGCCTTGCTGAGAGCCAGCTGCCTCCTTCCAGCCTCCCTGCAAACATCCTGGTGAACCCAAATACCGCCTTCATCCTGTGATTGTCTTTCTCTCCAGAGCTTGAGCCCTTCTTCCTCCTCAGGAGGAAGCAAATCTCATGATATGTGCAGTCCCCCCAGTGCCAGAAGGTGACTAGACACGTTGTCCATTGGTAGGTACAACTCAGGGGCCACCTTATGGAAGGAACAGACACAACCTGTGAATCTAGACACTTCAGAGGTGGGGTTCGTGGGATCAGCGTCCCCACGACTTTTCTCCAGAATTATAAGCTCCAAGTTATTTCAACAGGGCTGCCGGGAAGAGGACCAGCGCTGATCGGGGGCACATGACTTATGAGGAGAGGCTGAGGGAACTAGGCTTATTTAGTCTGCAGAAGAGAAGAGCGAGGGAGGATTTGATAGCAGCCTTCAACTACCTGAAGCGGGGGTTCCAAAGAGGATGGAGCTAGGCTGTTCTCAGTGGTGGCAGATGACAGAACAAGGAGCAATGGTCTCAAATTTCACTGTGGGAGATCTAGGTTGGATATTAGGAAAAACTATTTCACTAGGAAGGTGGTGAAACACTGGAACGGGTTACCTAGGGAGGTGGTGGAATCTCTATCCTTAGAGGTTTTTAGGGCCTAGCTTGACAAAGCCCTGTCTGGGATGATTTAGTTGGGGTTGGTCCTGCTTTGAGCAGGGGGTTGGACTAGATGACCTCCTGAGGTCTCTTCCAACCCTGATCTTCTATGATTCTAAGATTGGAAATCTTATCTGGGACACATCTGCACTTCTAGTCTTGTTACTGGTGTTTAGGAGAACCTCTTCTATGTCCCATCATGAGAGATGGGGAGGGCTGGAGAGGGGAGGGGTCCTTCCATACAGCATGGCAGAAGCTCAACCCAGGACAGTCTCTGCAGAGACCATCACCCCAGCAGGGAGAGTGCACCCACATCACCTTTTCTCCTGCTTTGGCTGGAAGTTGCCTACGTCAGTTGTTTTGCTTGCACAGACACAACAAAACGAGACAGCATGTTTTAAGGGAAAGCCAAAAAAGGCCTCAATTATCCGTGGGCTCTGATTATACCACTGGCAGGAAAACAGGCTGGAGAGGGCAGGAATCTCTCCTCTTGCTGCTAGAAATGAACCTGAAATAGCAGAGCATCTCCTAAGCGTGCTTGAAGTTTCCATGCACCAGTGTTATCCTTATTATGGAATTTGTGTCCATGAAGTCATCTACCAAAAAAACTTCCCTCTGCTAACGTGACCTGGATGTGCCATGCCCAGGTGTGAGGGTGTCTAAATTGGCTCTGCTCTTCCAAACTGGTCAGCTGGAGACCGCCTGGCACAACCAGCTGGCCTTGGGGATTTGTAGTCCATTTACCATATGCAACTCACCTGAGTTTCCGTAGCAAAGCCCTAGATGGCAACTAGTGCAGTTTAGCATGTGGAGGAGTCTGTTTCTTTCCTCATTCTTTCGGGAGGAGCAGATGGAGTTTAATTTTTCGTGCAGTGGCAGTGAGCTGAGAATAGCAGCTCTTCAAACTGGCACCAAGGCGGTGGAGAGGCAAAACAAGAAACACCCAGAAATGCCCCCTACCAACCTGGATGCTGGATTGCAGAACTGGGTCTTGAGCTGCAGAACAAGCACAACTGCACACCGGGATAAATTCAGACCTGGTGTAAACGGCTGCAACTCTGGTCTCATGCCACATTTGAATCTGACCTGGGATTATTGATTTTGTTCCATCCCGTGACTGGCCCTCTGCTATGGCCAATTCGTCAGGGTCCAGTCCTGCCAGGTGCTGAACTCCCTCTGCTCCCAGTGACTCAGTCCAATGCAGACTGAGTGCTTTAATTCAGAAGGATAAAAAAGGTAAGATCCCAGAGAAGGACAACGCCCCTCACTGCTGGGATCAGGGTAAATTGGTGGGATATTTCCTCTTCCACGTAGCAAGACAGAAATAGGAGGCTTGGATACAGCCGATCCCTCTGCTGGAGTGGAAGATCAGGATCTGGCCCTGAGCCCTGTCTCTTGTTGTTGCCACAGGGGAAATTTAGGTCAGGCTGTAAACGCCCTTGCACTGCTAGAGCAGGGAGATCAGGTGCATGAACTGCTGAGTCAACACAGGGCCATGCGGCCCCAGAAGCACTCACTTGTGCTGCTTGGAACTGGAAGTTCTGCAG